TACGGGCTCTTTCCATCGCGAGGCATATTCCCCTCGCTCTTCCTCTCCAGATTTTCCGAGTCTGAAACCCACGCCCTCCAACGCTGCCTCTCCCCATGTTTGACGCGCGCCGCGAGGCGCCTCGCCGGCATCGTCCAGCTCACCAACGCCGCCTCCCCTCCATCCAACGTCGCCGTCCTTCACAACGTTCACCCCTCCGCTCCCTCCAACACGCCGCGCATCGCGTCCATGTACATCGAGATGCAGACGAACCGCCCATGTATTCACTCCTGCTTCACGCTCGCCGGCTGCGGCTGTGGCGGAGTTTGGCAAGGCCAATCACCTGGTTAATGCGGGTCGTCGTGGCGTACATGGTGATTGATAGCCTCACCGTGTTGCCGGAAAATATCCCCGTGTTGCCCATGTCCGCATCTCCAGCATCACGCTACTGAACATCTTCGCGGTGGCGGATCTGGGCGCCTTGCAGGAGAAGACCGTGCAGATCGGCTACAAGGATATGAGTGAGATCGATCTACCGGTCTGTGTTTTTTAGGATGGTACCGCACACTGCCAGTCCGGGCAGGAGCTACTTGGTGACTCCCTGATGCACAGGCATATGGGTAAATAATTTTGTTTAGTGCTAAGTAGGAGCTAAGTCTGCATGTGCATCAGGTAATACAAGTCGCTGTGCGTCATGGTGAAGCTAATTTGCTGCACGCTAGCAATCGATCCCTCAAGTTCTGCCAGAGCAGCGCACGTTCATTGCTCACAAGACTGGTGCAGACGCACGGCTCCACGAATCCACGGACCAAGGTGTGGAGGCAGGCTGCAGTGCCGCAGTAGGCGGAAGCAACATACATCATTTGTATGCTCTCTTACTCTTATCCTTTTGACTTTAGAAATTAATCTAGATTTAGTTTGATTCTTTGTGTTAATTGGATTAGTTGTCAGCGTTTTAGAACTCTACCGGGCCTGATGTGTCATACACGAATAGAGAAATCTGCACAACATATGTGAGTTAGTGACCACTTGTTGATTGCATAGTCCAGATGCTAATTATATATATAAGAAAGGAATTATGGGAGGTACAGATACAGTGCTACCAAGTTCATATTAAAGAAAGGGTATTATGGGAGGTCGGAGGGGAGAAGATATCGAACATTTTCTTATTTTGATCTGCATGATGCGAATAACTAGATTGAAAATTAATGCTAAATTTTATTGTATTTCAGTAGAGAGTTGAATACATATTGGTAGACAAAATTGAGGTGAAACCTAACATGGTTCCTGTTGTATAAATAATATATAATTATCTTTTACAGGTTTAGAATTTAGAGCACTTATTTGGTTTACATACAGTGATACATTGCAATGATTTAGAAAGGTGACCTATTTTCAAGTGAATTTACATGTTCTTTGCTATTCAACATAATTTTTTCTTCCCTCCGTTGTGTTAATTGATTCATCTGCGGTTGTGCTCTTCTGACAAAGATGTCCATCAAGTCCCGAGAGAACTACTAATAGCTAGCTGGAAAGATGTTTTAGAGAATTTGTTTGGAGGTACGTAATGAAACCTCATAACTTCTAATTTGCTGATTTTTTTCAGAGAATTGCTTCGCTACTAATGCGCTAAACTAATATAAGACGTTGTAGGTCACGAAATACTGACCTAAAACGGCTTTTATTAGTTTCCAAATGGAGTATTATTCCTGTTGAAGTTCTTTAATCATTTCAATTCTTCTGTGACAGGCCGACAGCGGGCTCGAGTCTATCTCTGTCTCACGAACAGGGTGGACAGGTTCACGACTCGACTGATTGACTGAATCGGAGCAAACAATTCAGCAAACACCTTATGGGCAGAGGTAGAGAAGCAGAGTATGGGCACTAGCACAGCTTACCTTTTTATCTTCCTGTACGTGCTGCACTGAGGCGCTTTGTTCTTACATTTGTACTATCAACAGGAACACACAGTATACATTACAAATCCAGTTTTGCTATGAAGCCGTAACTTTGCTCAGTTCTTCCCTACAATTAATTCGTCTGAATTACTAGCTATGGTCCCTTCTAATTCTTATTCTAATTAGCAGACAAACTTAAGATATATTTTGTTCAAATAAATCTGAATCTACAACTGATATTGTTATCTCTGTTTATCTCATTTGTTGAGAAGTATTGCTATATTTAGGGCTGCTTGTTGAGCATTTCCATGGTAGATCCCAGATTCGAACAATGTATTCTTACACTCCCATGTATCACAGTTTATATTCTCCTTTCGATGCAAGCCTTCCTGTTTACCTGAATGATTTTGAATATGTAATACGTACATGTCTTACGTACAATCCAGCCTAGACACAAAGTCAGAAATTATCTGCTATGTGTTACAGGTTCAGCACAATGTCAACCCCTTTCCTGTTGTGCATATGGTCTTGGTTTTGGGTTCAGAATATATTTTGATTTAGAGATGCAGAAACGATGGATAGATATTGACAAGCCTCATTTTCTATTTGTTCTGGAGGGTCTGGGTCTAAATATCAGTCAAATATTTAATTTTTAGCTGAATGATGAAATAATGGAAAGTGGTGCTCATCTCAAAGTAGGGCTACTTGGTCTAAATAATTTGGTCATCTCAATATTTCACAAGCATATGAGATATGTGTAGTAATTTGTGTATGCATTCCAGCTTGGACTGGCAGCATGGACTGGAAAATTGTCCCAACCATCTTGGACACACCCCAGGCAGGTGCTGCCAGCTGCCATGGTCGAGGCATGAGGTTCGACGTGGTGATCAAGGAGGTGCAGGGTATGCTCTTGTAATTAGTATGATGATTTCCACATGCTTAAATGCTACTCCATTATGTTTTTGCATAACAATCTTGACATTATGTATTGAAATATTCATAGTGATTCTTCCCGTTAAGTTGAGCTTAATATGTTTGTCTCCTGCTCTCAGCTAATTTAGGATTTTGTATTATATTTAGGTAAGCATTTTCCTTGCATGTCGTGATATCTTACAAGCATTGTGTTAATCAATTTTTTCTTTATCAAGTTTACTATTATTTCCATCGCTCTGCAGTTTATTTAAATACACTGCTTTACATTATTCTGGTGTGAAGTTTTCCAAATCCATTTTCCAATACAAAATTTCTTTTTCCGGATATAGACTCTTTTTGCTAATAAATAGGACAATCTGGATTCAAAGTTAAATAAAATTTATGGCCTTGTGTTGATAGATGGCATTACACACTGATGGCTTCTGGTTTTCTATTTTTCTTATAGGAACAGAGAAACTGAATATTTTGTTTGCAAGACGGTTATCATATACTCTAATTCAGACATAAGTGATGACACAATAACGCGCTTCGCCAATTTCTAATTCAGGCGGGCGTAGCTTAGCTTGGGACCAAGCACGTGCAACAATTATTGTCTTCTTCATGCCCCGTAAGTTGCTTCTGTCATGCATGTAAACAAAGACGCCACCGACAGTAACGGCATGCATAGTGAGGTCGTTGCCCGGCATGATCTTGCTTTGAGCTGCTTGGAGACTTGCTTTGAGCTGCTTGGATGATACTGCTTCAGTGTATTCTTGCTTGTTTGTCCTATTTTTTCAGTGAAATGCTGAAGATATGTAGTTGATTGCCAGTATTTGATCGCCCTGCAATATTTTTTGACTTGGTTATTTGTATATTGTACGAGCTTGAATATTGAATAAGTAGCGTATCTATTAAATTATATGTGGTTTCGTGCATTAGTTTGTACATGCATTTGCACACATGCATATGATTATTCAGGTTAGATTTGCCACCAAACTTAAGTGCCCCTCCTTATTTTAAGGTTATCATTTCAATTCAACCTAATATAATATTAAATGCCTCGTCAGTATATCAATCCGACCTTTCTCTATGAGGACCCCTGCAGATTTGTGATGCTGTAGTTTTTCTTTGGGCAAATGTACTACAGAAAAAAACATACTAAGCTGAGCACCCGTTGAAGGCAGATATGTACTTGGCATAGGGTTTGCCGAGTATAAAACTAGGTGAGGTGCACTTGACATACACCTGGCATGGGGTTTGCTGAATGTTTTTATCATTTTATGAAAGGAACTTTATGATTCGTATGTTCAATTGTAATTTTATCTCAGAAAGCTCATTCTAGAATATGTGTATAGACTCATATTTATGACCTTTTTTATAAATTATACTAGGGTCTGGATTATAAATTTCAAGTCCTCTGAGCATACTCACATTTATATTTGATGATGGACACGTGCGTTGCACGTGCGATGTTTCCGAACTTCAGAATCCAGATAATAAAGAAAAAACATAGCTCCACTCCCGCACCCGACACCACCCACCTCCCCGATCCAAACACAGCACCCACCGCCAACCGGCGACACCGCAGGCGCCGCACCCCCGACCGGCGCCTCCGCAGCCGCCCCGCCCCCAGGCGTCGACGTGCCGCAGCCCCAACCTCGACCGGAAGCGCGCCACCCCCCGTCCCAACGGATCCGGAGGAGACATCGCCGCACCTCCTCCCGGAGCACCTCGGGGGTCGCCGGATCCGGCGAGGATCCTTCACCGCCCTTCACTCGCCGACGACCACCAGCACACGCGTGGAATGGACGTTATCCTGCAGCTGGAGGAGGCGTTGACCTTTAGCTGGAGGAGGCAACGGCCTGCACTGGCCGCCGCGGAAGACCTCTCCCACACCCCGCCGCTGATACCTCCAGCGCCGTCGCCTCTGCCCTGCTACCTCTCTGAGCTCTGCATCCCGCGCGTTGCGGCCCAACTTCCCATGCAGCGATGTCCATCTTCCTTCTTCATTCCTCACCCGCCGGATGGGTTCTGTCGAGATTTTGGCCAGCGGATTCGGTAATCCATGCACCCCCTGCGGGTCTGTGATGACCAATGGATACTGATGGCGACCACCAGAGCACTCCCTGTAAGCGTCTAGACTGTGGCGATGGCTAGATTCGACCTTCCCCGGCATCATATTTCTTCCTTCTCCCATGGTCCAGCTGGAGTTTAGCCCTGCTGCTCGGAGCTCCATTGCCTTGAAGGTTCAACTAGAGTGTAGCTCTGTTGCCCCGAGCTCCACTGGCTTGAAGGCTCGGCAGTAGTGTAGTCTTGCTGCCCGGATCTCAAGTCCCTTGATGGTTTAGCCGGGGTGTAACTCTGCTGCCCAGAACTCCAGTCCCTTGATGGTTCAACTTGGGTGTAACTCTGCTTCCTGGAACTCCGGTCATTTGATGCCACGGGAGGATTGTAGCTCTGCTGCCCATAATTAACCAGCTTCGACGCCTCCGGAATGTACCCTTGCGTGCCACCGTACACTCCAGCGGAACCTGGCTCAGGGGATAACAAGTGTCGCTGGCGGAACATTACGCTCAGACATCTGGTACTCTGATGTTTGGGAGTAACCATTCTTGTGCCGCCCTTGGGATGAAACTTGCGTAGAAGAACCATAGGCATCGTATTTGCTCTGCATGCTTTAGTTGATGTAAGCACTCTAGCTGCTGATGGATGGCCACTGCAGCAGGATCAGACGCCAACCATATGGCAGGGTATGATAGTGTACCAAAGTTCTGCTCAACAGGTAGCAATTCTGCAATTTTTGTCAAGGTTGAACTGCCTGGGCCAGATAACTGAATGAGAGAAGTTGCTCTATAACTAAAGTAGTATTTCAGAGTTCAGAAAGCCGAATGTTCGGCCGTTATGTTCAGATAACTGATCCTGATGGCCTCATGCTATAAAGAGATATCCATCCGTTCAATGACAGCTTCCAACGAAGTTCAAAATCACAAGATTATGCCGTAACTATTTAAAATATTAGTATATTGGTGCATGCGTGCGTGCTGGGTGTGATGACTCGTGTGTGTCTGCTACTATGTGGTTGCTTGTGTGTTCGTGTGTCTGAGGCTGCGCGCTCTGGTGTGTACTCCCATTTGTGTGGGGTGCATTTATGAAAATATTTTGATGCTACGACAATAGAAAGAGTGCTAGAAAATAAGATATGTTCACAAATGTGTTATTTTATTATGTCAAATTTTTTTTAGACATTTGCACATAGCGCACCCCCCTGATGTGTTGACCAAAAATGTTGGATAACCACTACAAATTATAGCATGTAGGCCCATTTAGCATGTCTGAGAAATTATAGTTGCAAATCTACTACGTCTATACACCAAGTTCAGAGACGTACAATGAAGTTGTACTACAAAAATACACCAACCCCTCAAAAAATAATTAAGCCAGGTATTACGGCTACGTGTCGGTCGCGATGAAGTTCAACGAACATATACGCCAGCCACCGGGAAGTTCTACTATGGCTGTATGCCAATTTCAACTAAAACTATATGCTAAAAACGTCATTAGAGGAGTTCTGCGGAGCAAAAATAGAAGTTAAAAAAACAAAGTAGAGTTGGGAAAGTTCAGAGGATAAATGTTTAAAATAAAAATAAAAAATAGCTTGATTTTTATGAAGACAAATCGTATTCCCCGTTATTAAATAATAAATAAAAGAAGTTCAAATTTAAAATAATCAAGCAATTAAAAAGTTTAGGAAAGAAAATAGTTTTTTCTCATTTTTAAGAAAACAAAGTATCACCCAGAAAATGTTAACTCTGGAAGTTTAAGAAAAAGAAGAAGAAGTTCAATTGAAAGAACAAAGAAATTTGACATTCATAAAAAATAGATATTCCTTGTTCCATATTTTTAAAAAATAAACAACATCACTTTTGAAAATAAATAAAAAGTTCAACCTTAGCCTTGTGAAGTTCAGATTTTTGTTGGTACGATGCTTGCTGATGTGTTGGTCGTGCATGTAGCACGTGGAGTGTATGTGCTTTGTTGTGCGTAATTTTCTTGAATTTCAATAGCAAATGAAGTTCATGTTTCAGAAATTCCGAAGTTCAAGTGTACTACATACAAAAGAAATTTATCAAATGAAAAAAAGGGACCACCTAGGACATTTCACCAAGAGCAAAAAAATGCCTAAAAATGTCGCGAGACAAAAAAACGTCAAATGATATAACATAGTAGGTTCGTAGAAAGTGGAAAAATCATAATTTGTTTTGTAAGTTTAACCATTTCTAAAAAATACCTTGAAGTTCAAATTTAAATAATAGGGCGGTTTAATTTTTATTACAAACCCGTGATTTTCCTTTTTACTTTAGAATAAACAAAGAAGTTCAAAAATAAAAAATGGAGTAGTTTGAACAGTTTATAAAAAATGGTGTTTCTACATTTTACTAACAAATTGGGGAAGTTCAAACTTAAATAACATAGAAGTTCAAAAATGTTTATTCCAAAACCAAGAAGGTCAAATTAAAAAAATCGAGTAGTTTAAAAAGTTTGTAAAACATATATTTTCCCATGTTTTTAAGATCTAGAAGTTCAACTTTAAATACTTGAGCAGTTCGATATTTATTACATAACTAGGAGTTTTCCCGTTACTAATGAATAACACCAAATATGAAGTTATTTGTGTTTATTAAAACTCAGATTTTCCCCAATGCTAAAGATTAAAACCAATAAAAAAAAGTAGAGCGGTTCAATGTCTCTAAAAAACTTAGATATTTTCTCGTAACCAAGAGAAGTTCAGATTGATAACTGTGAGAAGGTCACGTACTACACGGTGTGCATTTTGTATTAAAAAAGAATGAAAAATGCAAAGGCTGAAAGTTTTGTTGCTACAAGTTCAAGTGCTCAGCCCGAGAAAATTAAAAAATCTGTGTGAGAGGTTGAACAAAAATACATGACCGAAATTCATGGTGAAAACAACGGGAAGTTCAACTACTACATGGAATGCGTTTCAGATAAGAAAAAAAAGAATAGAAAACAAAAAGCTTAAAAGTTTTGTTGCAAGAAGTTCAAGTGCTCTGTCCGGGGAAGTTCAGAAATTCTTGCAAGAGAGATTCACCTTGTATTTCCATCTTCGAAAACACAAAAAGAATTTATTTTTTGCATTTTAAAATAATTCTCTCAACCACAAAGAAGTTCAATTATTGTTTGGGAGCAATTTGATTTCAAAAAGCAAATAAAAAATTCAAATTATAAAGATGGAAAAAGTTCATGTACTACATGGTTTGTGTTTAATCTAAGAAAAATGAATTAAAAAGGCAAGGTGAAATTTTTTGTTATTATAAGTTCAAGTCCTCGGTCGGAGAAAGTTAAAAAAATTATTGTGAGAAGGGTTTGTACAAAAGGAAAATCATTTGTGTAACACTAACAAATGGATGAGAAAAATTACAAACGAAAATACGTCACATAAGTTCAACGTGAAAACAGCAGGAAGTTCAACTACTACACTGAATGAATTTCAGATGAAAAACCTTTAAAACCGCCGCAAGTATGAAAAAAATGATCAACACAGGAAAGTTGTGTGTTTACAACAGCTTTCCATCGGTATATCACTTGCTCAATTCCGGTGAGTGGATGTAGAGCTACGAGCAAAAAAAACACATGAAAAACAGAGTGAAGTTCAAGTAGGCATGTCGTGAAGTTCAAGTTCTTCAGGCGGTGCATTTTTGAAGAATCTGTTTCGTGATAAAGGCAGAACGAATGATCTCGCCGTTTTCGAAATTACTTGGAAACAGCTAGGAATAAGAGATAATCATCAACATGAAAAAGGTTTCACATTTCCATAGCTTTTCAACGGTATATTATTTGCCACATTCCGATGAAGTTTGTAGAAATTACGGTGAAAATACCTTTTTAGACATTTTCAAAATTGGCTTAAAACCATAAGGAATTGGGAGAAGCAATACATACAATTTTTTTCGTATTTCCTCAAGCTTTCCAACGCCATATCATTTGCTGCATTCACACGCATGGTTAAAAAATTAACTCGAAAATATGAACTCGATGGAACTTGTACCTTTTCTAAATTACTCTTAAACAGTTCAAAATTAGAAAAAACCTTCAACGTGAAAAAGTGGCGCATTTTCATAAGCTTTCCAACACCATATCATTTGCCTCGATTGGATTAGCCGTTTAGAAATGGCATCAAATATACCAACTTGGCTGTTCGGTTTGCAAAATTTGACGTTTTTCCAAATTACTCTACAACCATCGGGAATTAGAGAAAACTTTGAACATATGAAAGGAGCGGTTTTGCAGCAGCTTTCCAACGCCATATTATTTGCCTCATTCCGATAAACAGTTTAGAAATGCGATCGAAAATATGATTCACGTTTTTTGTGTGAAGAAAAAGCGGTTTTCAAAACTGCTCTTAGACCGCTTACATTTAGCGAAAAAATTAACTTGGGTCATGATACTCGTGTCCATAGCTTTCCAACGGTATATAGCAAGCCCTATTTGGGCAATGTTGGCAGAAGTTCAACCTAGCACAGGGGGAAGCTTAGGTCGAACAACCCAGGCAGTAAAATTGCAAAAAAACGCAACTTCATCACGATCCGAGAGCAAAATCCACCTATGAGCGAGATTCTATTTAAAATGGGCATTTAGTTGCTAAAAACATTTGCAGATTACACTTACATCACATAGAACACGACTAACGAGAATAATTCGTGCGGAGAGGCACGATTGCGAAGATAGCCCGAAGGTCGGGTTCCTACAGAGGGAAGTTCAGGCGTGTAACTCAGGAAGTTCATGTTGTCATCAGAATAGTGTTTATATATATATTTTTCAGAGGCAAAATAAAAACTTTATAAAACATATTTTGTTGAAAATTCCAAATAAAACAATTTGAATCCAAAACTTTTGACATTATTTTCTACTGATATTTTTGGAGAGTCATGTTAGCTCCTCTCATACTTTTGAACAAGTATTTGTCACGGACTTTGGAAATGAATTTCAAATGCCAATTTGAATTGAATTCAAATTCAACTGACAAAAATCCAAATGCCTCTGAAACTTTGCAAATTTCACCACAATTCAATTAAAATGCATAGATGCTTAGCCAATAATTGTAAAACATTCCAAATTGAAAATTTGGGATGTTATAATTATGGACCTTCACACTAATAAGAAGATGGAGATCAAGAAGGAAGTCATTCAACTCCCCTGAAGCACTCCAATGGAACGGTTCCCGGGAACTATGCCAACATCCTGACAATGTCTACCAACTCGATCCGCTTCTAACCCGATCCACATTGGAAAGCGGTAGCGGCCTACCACCATATTAAATGTGTGGCTTAGCATTGATGTCTCGACAGGCCTTTATCGACAAGTGGCCGGCATGCAGGCAGGTTGGTAAGATGGCAGAGATGCATGTGGTGATTCACCACATTTTTACCATGCATGTGACACCTATATTAGTGTGTGTCGCATTAATATCAGGTTGTTATGCTACACTAGGCAAAACGATGAGCGTTCATTCCCGAAGGCCATAAGATGATGACACCTAATAGGTCATTTAATGCATTTGTCTACTCTACTAGAGTTATGCATAGATTACTGTAGCCACTGTGGTACCCCCTGAGCTACAAAAGGAGGACCTAGCTACTGTA